CCCCAACATCCCAGCAACCAGCAGAGAATCCACCCCACTTTAGTGTGGGTTCTTTGTCTTAGTCTTTTACAATAGTGGTTGTCTCTATATAATCTTGCAGAAACTCTATAGTGTTAGCTTTAACATTTAGATCTTTGACCCATTTTGAGTTAGTTTTGTGTATAGTGTGAGAATACTGTTTCATTTTTATGCAAATAGATATCTAATTTTGCATCATCATTTGTTAAAGAGACTGCTTCTTCCACTGAATAGACATTGATCCGTTGTCAAAAATCAGCTGTCCACAATTATAAACATTTTTAAAGTACTTAACAGCAGATTGGTGTTTTTTTTGTTGTTGTTGTTGTTCCGTTTTTGCTGCTGTTTGGTGCTGTCAAGTTGGTCTCAATCCATAGCTACCCCGGGTTTCAAACCAGAACTGCCCCATAGCATTTCCTAGACTACAATCTTTACAGAGAAACCCTAGTGTGGTGCTGTAGGATACGCACTGGACTGCTGACCACAAGGTTGACAGTTCAAATCCACCAGTTACTCCTTGGAAACCCTATACAGAGTCGCTACAAGTCAGAACTGACTCTACAGCACACAACAACAACAAAAATTTTCCAAGTCTCCAAGCAGACCTCCAAGTCTCTCTTCCATGAAGCTGGCTGGTAGGTCTGAATGGCTAACCTCAGTTCACTTAACCATTTCAGCTTCAGAGCTCCTTAAAGACAACAGGCAAAAGACAAAAGTACATCATTAAACCAACACTTGAAACTCAAAATTGAAGCAAAGAAAGAGAAGTAGAAATGTTGATAGACTTCTTATGACTAATCATTATGTTTCTCTGTGATGTGCTCCATGTTTGTGTTTGTTGTTGTTGTTGCGAAGTACCGTTGAGTCGGTCCGACCCATAGCGACCATAGGGTTTCCAAGGAGCAGCTGGTGAGCTTGAACCGCCAACCTTGCAGTTCAAATGGCTTTGCAGTCTGGCACATTAACCCACTGCGCCACACCAGTACTCCATGTTTGTGTTTAGACCTAAGGAAAAACCCAAGTGCTTTATATCCTTTGGTAGGTAAATTCTCAGAGGTGTTAATCATAGGGAACAAGGTATAATAGAACACAATATCTTGGACAACAATTTTCTAGCCAATGCAGAAGTGCTTTTGAGATAATTCTTTCTTGTTTTGTCAAAGACAAAGGTTGAACAAAAACATGAAACCTAATTAGGTGCAGATACTCTGCAAAGAGTGCATCTATTGTCATCCAGGCTATTACAGGATTTTTTTTTGTTTGGGGTGGGGGGGGGTAGCAATTGTTTGGTTGAATCAATTGGTAGAAGAGGGAATCTTTCCTCTTCTAGTCAATAGCACATGTTTGGGATGCAGCTGACTGGGCATGGAATTTTCCAGTAGCTGGTCTACCAGAAACCTTTATTCTGGATCACTTTTAATAGAGCTCAGAGGTATATAGGGGCAAAGAGCATTTATAAGATGCAAAGCCCTTTCATGTCTCACTGCCACCATTCTAAGCTGATTTTTCTGTGTCTGACTTCATTTCCTGTACATCAGGAGTTCACAGTCTTATCAAGCCCCAGCACAATACCAGAACAATAGCTCCTGCTTTGTTAGTCTTTGCTATATAACAAAGCACCCCTGAATTTAGCAGCTGGAAACAGCAGCCAGGCATTGGCTCAAGATTCTGCAGTGGGCTGATATAGCTGGGCATCTGGGTGTCAGCTAGGCTCCCCCATGCATATGTAGTTAGCTGGTGGTTGGATGGAGACTGGATGGTGGAGCCTCAGTGGGAGGTCAAGGTGGATTTCCTATTTAGCATCTCATAAAATGCAAGGTCTCCTTAATCTAGAGTCTAGTGTTTCTCTTGCTGCATCCTCTTGCTAGAGGCCAGCCAAGATGCAGCTACATAGGATGTGGACTCAGGACTGTGGAACTCATTGGAGACTATTCGGTAGCAATCATCCACAGCCTTGCTTCCACCAGTACCTCAGTAGTAGTGGAGGCGGGGGAGGGAGGGAAGCCCACAGGCACCCACTCCCCTGGGAAGGGGGCTCTAGTTCAGGTCATTAGGTGCTAATTCCAAGCTCTGAGCACTCACGCTTAACTGCTGCCATCAAAAGCCAAAATACCAACCTTTATGAGATGGATTAAAAAATGTTGAAAAGGATATATGAGGAATAGACCTTTGAAGTGATGAAATACTAAATGTTTCAAGAAGCCTACTGGTGACTATGCTTAAAGACCTTGTCCTTCTGAGGCACATTGAGTTACATCGCTCGATGGTGGCCTCCCCAGACCGCCCTCCTCCACAGCTGTGACCATCAGATATTACATGGTCATTTTATATTGGCTGAAGTAAGATAGGCTGCATGCCGGAGGCTCTCAGCCCCAAAGTCAGCAGACTCTTCTTTGGGTTGGAATGGGCAGTGCCCCTGACAGCCCCCAATGTCCTGGCTTCAAACAGGGGTCACACTGTTTAAAAGGATGACTTGAATGAGAATAAAGGCCATATGCGCATCACTTTTGATAAAATCACTTGAATGAGAATAAAGGCCATATGCGCATCACTTCCAGCTGGAAAGCTGGAAGGGCTAAATAACAAAGACATTGGATAATGGGCTTAGCTGGCAAAAACCATTTTAGCACCCTGGGAAAACAGCCTGAGACCCCAACAGACAAGCAAATCATTCATGTGAGGAGAGGGCCTGTAGCATCCAGCCTAGTGCCTGGCACATGGCAAGGGTGCGCCAGAACAGCAGCAGCTCAATGGCATAGAAGGAGAACCAGGTTTGGAGTCAACGACCCTGACTTTCAAGTCTGCTCTGCCAGCATTAGCATCTTGACCCAGGATCCAACTTCTTCAGTCTGAAATTGATCAAACATGCAATAAACAGATATTGATAATTACTGGTCATTGCTCATAATCATACCTTACAAATTAGAATGAGGATTCACTGGGATTAGCAGGCGTGAAAGTGCACAGCTCAGAATTGTTATCTTTAGCTGTCATTAAGTCAGTCCCCATATGAATCGGGCTGCTGATTTCACGGTCAGCGATTCGAAACTACCAGCTGTTCCGTGGGAGAAAGAGGAGGCTTACTGCTCCCGTAAAGATTTACAGCCTTGAAAACCCTGTACAGGGTGCTATGAGTTGGAACCGACTCCACAGCACACACCAACAACAGCAACATGAACAATGAAACTAAGTCTTGTTTAATACTGTTGTGATTCATGGGATTTGCATTTCAGTCATTTTCAGGGGTATATTGCCAGGCTTTTCCTCCTAGCTCATCTTAATGAAGCTCTTCAGCGTTATAGCCACCTGAAAGTCACCCTCTGCTGATAGATGGCTGGTGGCTATACCCCAGGAATACTGACCAGGAACCAAACCTGGCTATCCCTCATGGAAGTCAAGAATTCTATCTCTGAACCACCAGTGCCTCAGCTAGCACATGTGGTGGTGGTGGTGTGCAGTGGAGTCAGTTCCAACTCACAGAAACTCTGCATAGGGCTTCTGAGGCTGTAAATCTGTGCAAGAGCAGAAAGCCTTATCTTTCTCCTGTGGAGCGGTTGGTAGATTCAAACTACTGACCTTTCATTTAGCAGCTCAGCTCTCAATCCACTACGCTACCAGGGCTCCTTCAACTAGCACATAGTAGGTGTTCAAAGGAGCTCCTGGGTGGTGAAAACAGCTGGCACACCCAGTTGTTAAAGTGCTGGAGGTCTGAGTCCACTCAGAAGTGCCTTGAAAGAAAGATCTGGAGATCTACTTCCAAAAAATCAGCCATTGAAAGTTCTGTGGACTCAGTTCTACTCTAACAGGTTTTAGATGCTCAAGGAAAGAAGTTAGTTCCTTTCCCTCCCTCTTTCCTCACAGTTTCCATCCCGTTGGAAACTATAAGGGAGTGGGGCACTGGCCTTTGGCCTTCCCTGTAGGTCTCAGCATGGGCCTCTGACTGACAAAGCCCTCTTTCAGTTGCCCTGGTCCAGGATGGCATCTTCCTGTCCTGTCCCAATGTTAGACCTCTGTGAGTAGCTAGGTTACAGGGGCCAGGCAGAGGATGTAAACATGTGCAGTGGCCTCCTGGGGGAAAGGCATAGGGGCCTGGTGGCTGCTGCAGAAACTAGAGCTGGTATAGCCTCCAGGAGACAGCCCATTTGAGTCCTTTGTCTGGAGGTGGGAGAATGTGTCCCACTCAGTCCTCATTTCATGGGAAAGAACTTTTGCCCTAGCTACTGGGGGAAATATCTTGAGAATAGTTGCTGTGCTCTCATTTGCTGAGGAGCGAGGGGCTGCAGCTGACGTTTTGTGCCATTGCTGCAGGCTCCACTTACAGTTGTGAATAAGAGAACCAATGACTTGGCCGGGCCCAGATACCAGCAAGAGCAGGCAATACACCTATGTTAACTGCTTACTTGGGCACCAAGTCCCAGAAGGATGGAGATCCAGGCTGTGGTCCAGGGCTGGGACTTCACAGATAATGCTTTCCCTGGGGATTACGGGAAGACTAGGGGAAGGCACCGGGAGGTTGGAGATAGCTGAGTGGATGAAGAGAAGATGAGATGGTGTGTGTGTGACAGGTGTCCTTGTACAAGGTGTTGTTGTTGGGTGTCATTGAGTCAATTCTTACTCATAAATGATCCCATGTGACAAAGTAGAACTGTCCCATAGGGTTTCCTAGACTGTAATCTTTATGGGAGCCGATCAGTAGGTCTTTCTCCTACAGAGCCACTGGGGTGGGGGTGTGGAGGGCAGTTCAAACAGCCAGCCTTTTGGTTAGCAGCCAAGTGCTTAACCATTATACAACTAATGCAAGTTGTAGGGGCTGAATACATACTGTTTTCCCATTGATTCCCCCTCTAAGCTGAACTATGTTGGTCATTGTGGGAATGCCAAGAAAGACCCAGGGAAGGGCCTGGGTCCTCCAGCCTGAATGTTTTGATTGTCCCTTCTGTCCTGGCCCTCTGCTACGCTAATGATACATCCCTCCCTGACAGAGGAACTGAAAGAGAAGCTGACAGAATATGTGGACAAGATGAATGGCCAGAAGCCAGGCTTCATCAAGATTGTCCGTCACAGCAAACAGGAAGGCCTCATTCGCTCCAGGGTCAGCGGCTGGCGGGTGGCCACTGCTCCAGTGGTGGCACTCTTCGATGCCCACGTGGAGTTCAATGTGGGTTGGTAAGTGCCCATGCTGACCACTTTGGGAAAGGAAGATGAGTCCTAATGTGGTCCAAGGCTTTGGCTGAAATAGGTACAAAGCATGCTGGGATCTCAGTGCTGGGCCAGAAGGAAAGGAGAGAATTCTGAGGAGGTAAGATTTGGGTATGAGAGTGGCCTTGGCAACAAAGTTGGCCCTTCAGTTTGGGAAGCAGGATCAACAGGTTTAAACACAGTGTCTGAAGGGTTTGGTGACATCAGATCTGACTTTATTAGCATGCTCCTCTAGGAAATATGATCAGGAACAGAGTCAATGTCAAGGCAAAGCAGAGAGTGCCTGCCCACCTAGGGACAGGGCTCCAGTACCTGGGAAAAGGAGAGTTGCAAACGATATGGGATCAAAACCCAACTATATAGACAAAGCCAAGACCAACTGGGCGAGGCAGCAGAGAGGGCTTGATGGCTTCCCAGGAGTCCTGGACTCTCCCAAAGCACACCAAAGGCTAGGTGAGCATAGCTCAAAATCTCAAATTCTCTACCCTGGGATGGGGCTGGGTAAATGGAACAAGATTGACGATAAAAGGCTTCAGTGCCCTCTGCTTGACAGGAAAGACCATCCTTCCTAGCCTCCTTCAGGGTCAGAGGTCATAGTACTGCCCATGTGTGGCTTTGTAGAGATTGGGGCGTCTGAGACAGGGGTGCTGGTAGGGTTCGCTGCAAGCAGCTGGAGCAAGTAGGTTACCACCTGTAACCAAATTCACCTCACGACATTGGCCTACTCGCCTCTCCCAGGCTCCACCAGGCCTTTCTTTGCCACCCTGGGGGCCGAGGATGGCATGTGAGCAGGCAGGATGGGGCCCACAGCACTGGCTGGATTCTTCCTTGCTCTTACATAACAGGCTCGAATTAAGGTTGCAATGCAGCCATATTTTATTGTTGAAGTCCCTATTTGCCACTTGTGACTATTTAAAAAACATTTTCCTTGGATTTATGGCCACAGTAGGAGAGGGGCACTAAGTATTTCAAGTTGATTTGAATAAAAAATTATGCAACAAATGTAATATTAATGAGGAGCTTACCATTCCTGTCTACAAATGCATCACTTGCCTCCTACCCGCAGGGCTGGGGGCCTCCTGGCTCCTTGAGAGAGCTCCACACCTCACCTCTCCTTGGGCGGGTGGGGAACCTCTGTGGTAGGGATAGCTCAGGCAGCCTGAAGGGCTGAAGCAACATCATATGACTGGTGGAAGTAGGTTTGTTCTCACCTACGAGTTTGCAATTTTCATCTGTCTTTTCCTCCAGGTTGATGGACTAAATTTTAGCAAAAATCAAAGCTGAAGTTGAAAGCTTCCCATGAATCCTCAGATGTGTTCCTTTCTTCTTTTTTTGAGTCTTGATTTTTTTTTTTTTTTTCTAGTGGAGAGAGGGGAAACAAGCAGGCACAGGAAGGAGCCTCTTGACTGGCTGGAATAAAAATTTCTCTGCTCAGTTTGAGACTCACCGAGGAAGTGGTGTCCTACTCTCCTAGGGTCACTGGAACAAAATACCACAGAGCAGATGGCTTTAAAGAACAGAATTTTATTTCCTCACAGTCTGGAGGCTAAAAGTACAAATTCAGGGTGTTGACAAGGCCCTGCTCTCTCTCTGTGTCTACTGTAGGGAAGGATCCTTCTTTGTCCCCTCCAGCTGTGGCAGTCCCAAGGAGCTTTTGGTGTTCCTTGGCTTTTAGATGTATCTTCACATGGTGCCTACCTACTCCCTGTGTGTGACTCTCTCCCCTTTTATAAGACACTACTCAGAAGGAATTAGAACTAGGACCCAACCTACAGTGGTGTGACTTACCTGATAACATCCTCAAAGGAAGACTATTTCCCCAAACAAGGTCACAGCCACAGGTATGGAGGCTAAGACTTCAATATCTCGTTGTGTGGAACACCATTTAATCCATAATGGTGGGTAGGCTTTTTACCAACACAGTGTTGTCAGAGGATAGGCATTTGGGCAGTTGGATAAGAATTCCTTCCCTGGGGAAAGATGCCCACTTCTCCAGTGGAACTGGCTAGTGTTTGTTCCTCTTTAAGTGGGAAAGACATTTAGGGGTTGCTGATGTTGCTGATCTTGTTATCCACTTGTTATCTCTCTCTGCTCCTCAGGGCTGAACCTGTCCTTACCCGCATAAAGGAGAACCGGAAACGGGTCATCTCACCATCCTTTGATAACATCAAATTCGACAACTTTGAGATAGAAGAGTACCCACTGGCTGCCCAGGGCTTTGACTGGGAGTTGTGGTGCCGCTACCTAAACCCCCCAAAGGCCTGGTGGAAGCTGGAGAACTCTACCGCCCCAATTAGGTAAAGCACCCTTACTTTGTGACTCTCTGCATTGTCCTCCAGGAAAGAGCTCCCCTCCCAACCTACCCCTGATTCTCTGAACTTCAATCCTATCCTTGTCCACCAGTTAATCCTGCTCAGGAGGAGAGGGGTGGTGGGGGATCGGGGGTTAGGGGAGGTGGCAGGTGGAATCCAATTACAGTACGACCTTTAGTCACTGTTCACAGGGCCTGATGAGCTCTTTTAAAAGAGTAAGTACATCCAGATTCCAGTGTCTTTTATCATTTCTGTATATCACTGTAGGATGCCTACAGAGGGTCAGCTGCTGTGCTCTGTGTTGGACAGCCAAAGTGATTAAAATTTGGTTCCTGCCCCCCAAATTGGAGGAGTAATTTGAAGACATGTCTAATTGTCTCCATGAGCAAACTGCTTCCTTTGCTGTGAAACCAGAAGAACTAGATGGTGCCTGGCTACCATTACTGAAGCATAGGGTCAAATATTCTATGGAAGAATCCTGACAGCAGCTGGTAGTGGGATGTGGAAAAGAATTTCAAATGCTCATAGAATTCTAGCTTTCTGGAGCCAGTGAGGCTGGTTGGCCCTCCAGAACTATTGCTCTGAGGAAGCCTTTAAACCTTAAACTGAAACTATCCCCCTGAATCATCTTTAAACCAAACAATTGTTTAGTTTAATTAGAAAAGAACATCCACCAAAAGCATTCTGTCCCTTTGAGGAGTTATAAATATGAGATGAAATTGACCACAGCGACACGGGAAGGGTTGGATGAGAAGCCTTGGGGCAGTGAGTTGTGTTAATGATGGTCAAACAAATCTGAAAAGGATATCAAGAAAGATGGTGTGACTTGAAGTGTGGAACCAGTACTGCTGAATTGTACATGTAGAAATTATTGAAGAGATGTATGTTTTGCTGTTTATATCATCACCCAAAACAAAACATTTGATTTCTGACCCCCAAAATATGAAGTCTACTAGAACCAATGGAGGGTCAATGAAAAGAAGATGACTCCCAACAAGATGGACTGATGCAGTGAAAACAACAATGGCCTCAAACGTAAAGACAGTTGTGAGGCTGGGGCAGCACTGGGCCGTGTTTCTCTCTGTTGTACATAGTGATCCAGCATAGGGTTTCTGAGGAACGACTGGGGGGTTTGAGCCACCTACCTGTGGTTAACAGTCCAGTGCTTACCCTACAGCACCACACCAGGACTCCTTGGGGGCTCACTGGTGGTGATGGTGGTTAAGTGTCGTGGAGTCAGTTCGGACTCACAACCACCCTGTATAATGTTTCTGAGGTTGTAATAATCTTTACAGGAGCAGAAAACCTCATTTCTCTCCTATGGAGCAACTGGTAGATTCTAACTCTTGGCCTTGTGGTTAGTAGCCCAGCCCATTATCCACTATGCTACCAGGACACCTTGGGGGCTAACCATGGTGGTGGTGGTGTGCCGTGGCATTGGTTCCAACTCATAGTAACCCTGCATAGGGTTTCTAAGGCTGTAAACCTTTACGGGAGCAGAAAGCCTCCTCTTCCTCCTGCGGAATGCTGGGGGCTCACTAGCTATGTGAACACTCTTGGGTGGACTCCGCACAGGACTTTGCCCAGCGTGCTTCCCCTTAGGTGAATCAGCACCAGCACATTGAGGGGAGCATCGTTGGTGTTGTTAAGCACATTTGAGCCCATTCTGTCTCATAGCAACCCTGTAAAGGGTTTCCAAGGAGTGGCTGGTGAGTTTGAATCGCCGACTTTGCAGCTCAAACCAGTGCAGTTTCCCACAACACCATATCAGGTCTTCCGGAGAGTATTAACTGACCCAAACTGCATTGTTCTGCTACACACCGCTACCATTTCTAGCCCCCACCCAGCATTTGTTGCAGCTGGAGAACTTGTTGAGGGAAGAAAGAAAAGGAGAAATGAGGACCCTTTAGTGAGGAGACCACTGTCAGTCAGTCACACATAATTGTGCCCTTCTTTAAAACTGGAAACTCAGTGAGGTGAAGAAAGAACTCTATTGCAGGACCCTTCTGAAGAAATGCTGATGTAGGAGGCTGCTCAGCTTCAACTTTCAAACCAAAGCATTTTATTCCAAATGGCTCTTCCTCCAGAAGCAGGCTGAGCTCTTGTTTTGGTGGAAGATACCGAGACCCTGGCCTAAGAGATGAATGTTATGGGACAAGTATCCATTCTGCCTCTGTCTGCTTTTTGTGTCTCTGAGATAAGCTTCCTAGCCTCTCTGAGCCCTGGGTTCCACATCTTGGAAAAAGAATCAATGTCAACCTCATAAGGAATAAACTAAATCATGTAAAGCATGGGAAATCCTCTGGGATCTACCTGGTACTCAAAAGATTATTTCAGATGCACTTGCCCATTGAAGAAGCCCATGGAATCCCCCCTCTGAATGTAGGATGATCTAGACACGTGAGCTTCTTAGAGAATGGGGTCTCAACCTTTTATTTTCCTCTGTGTTCCTGAAGTGCCAAGTGGGTCAGGGCACTCATGAAAGTCTGTTTCCAGACCATATAGGAAGGGGCCTTCCTCTAACTGCCAGATCCAGACCGTGAATGGCCAAAATGCAAAACAGTTCTCCTGGGATCAATACAGGGTGCCTTGAGCCCAGTCTATTGCTTATTAGCTGATCGGGTTATTCAGCAGACACAATCAGCCTAAAAGTGATATTGATTTATGTCCTGCCTCGTTTCTGAAAAGGATTAGAAATAGTTTACAAGAAAATGTCAAATACATTGAAAAAATAAAAACAGATAAATGTCTGGAAAGACCAAAAGAAAGGAATTGTATAGGATGAGGTCCTTCAAAGTTCTTAAAGTAAACCTTTTATTTAGCTCTATGCTTCCTGGTAGTCAAGGTGAAAATGAAACATGTGACCCTGGAATTAAAATTCACATTTCCCATGTGGAAATGCCCTACTAATTCCTCAGGGATGGCAAGGCTTTCTGTGAGTGGAAATTAAATTTGAAAGAAATTCTGACACAGGTCTTCTGAAGATGTCACAGAAGGATGCAGTAAACAATCATCTTAAGGTCATCCCTTTAGAATGCAAGTAGAAGGTATCACTGGGCTCTTTTTATAACTTACACCCTCTGTGGACAAAGCTCTATGGTACACCTCCAAAGAAAAAGGAATAGAGCTGGGCAACATATAGGGGCATAGCCAGAACTTCTTATGAGGCTGCATTCATCCAGGGATAAAACCAGGAATGTCCTTCTAAAAATCTTCCATACGTATAATTTCTTTCAACCAAACTTCATAAAAATTGTTGTTTTTGTTAAGTGTCATCGAGTTGATTCCCCATAGCAACCCTGTATAGTGTTTCCAAGGAGCAGCTGGTGAGCTTGAACCACCAACCTTGCAGTTCAAATGACTTTGCAGTCTGATGCATTAACCCACAGCGCCACACCAATTGGGTGATAGGAAATTTGAGGTTGAGCTATTATCTGGCAACACCCTCAAGTGTATGTTTGCTGGTTGTTGATTAAGATTTAAAGATAAGCCAGACAAAAGCAATTAATAGTACTGCTATCTTCTGTAACAACATTCATTTGGTGACAGAATACTTCTCTCCAGACCTGTAGGCAGAAGTTGGCCACGTCATTTCTAAGCTCTTGGGATGATGACTAGATGTGGGGCCTAGCTAACCTGGGTGTAGATTCTGGCTCTGCTACCCAGAACCTTAGGCAAGCCCATTCTCTTTGTCTTATTTTCTTCATCTTTTAACACAGGATGACATAATGAGTTGCCTCCCGGTTATAATGGGAATCAAATGAGACCAAATATTTAACACTGTGGGCTCACAATAAATATTTAACAGCACAAAATTGTGGCAGGGATCTAACAGAGGTAGCCACAGGAAATGGCTAAGTTGAGTTTTATTGGGTCGTATTATAAGTCTGAATTTTTTTTTTTCCTTTCTGGCAAGGAAAAATATCATCTTAGTTCATAATTGCCCACTTTCAATTAAATCCTTTATAATCTTTCTCCCTTATGTAAATTAAAGCAACAGCAGCTTTAATTTCTCATTTTATTCCAGGAGTTGTCCCCTAGGCCACCTCCTGGTTCTCTCTGTGCATTTAAGGGGCCGGTGGGACTTTGCAGGGAGCAGAAAGTCTGGTGGGGCCGATGTTTCAGCAGTCCCGACCCTTAAAAGCAGCCGCTACACAGGAGAGCTTCAGGCATCTAGGAGGACAGCAGCAAAGGCAGAAATAGCTTGGGCTCTTTGAAATGTAGTTTGAAGTCACTTTTGTCTGAGTTCTGCAGACTAAAACTCAAACATTCACAAGATCCCCAGTGCTCTGTGGGATCTGCTCCTGCCTCTTGTACCCTCCAGCCACATCTCCTGTGGCTGTGCCACTCAAATGTTTTGTCCTTGTCCCGTTGAATCAAACTCGCTCTGTGTCCATAAACCCACTCTGCTTCTTTGCATATGATGACCCTTCCCAAACCTACCAGTGTCCTAAAAACCAATAACCAAACCAGTTGCTTGTTGAATGGATTTCAACTCATGGAGACCCCGTGTGTGTCAGAATACAACTGTACTCCACTGGGTTTTCAAGAGTAGATAATCAGATTTTTCTTCTGAGACACCTCTGAGTGTGTTTGAACCTCTAAATCTTTGGTTAGCATAAGAGTTTGTTAACCATTTGTACAACCAGGGACTCCTCCAACTTAAGACTCCAGCTGGATTCCAAACCATCTACTGTTAGCTATCTCCCTGGTCTCCCACAGGCACCATAAGCTCAACTTGCCAAGAATGGAGTGCTTCTTCTGCCTCTGTAGAGTCACAGTACCACCATACTGTAAGTGGCCAACAGCCCACCATCACCCAAGCCACACTCTGCCCTCTCTCTCACCCTCATAGTTCATCAAGGGTTCTGCTGATTTTATATCTAAATATATCTTTAAACTATCTCTATTCTGAGACTCTGCTCTTAACTCCTCACCAGTTCATTTCTGCATAGAATAACAAACTCCTCAATTGGGTTCTTCAATTCCCACCTGTCTCCTCCAATCAACCACCTGAATACTCTTTTTGAAAAAACACACAGATTTGTTTATATCACTGTCTACTTGTAATTTTGGACTCCTGGTGTGGCACTGTAGGATAAGCACTGGACTTCTCATCATACAGGATTACTGAGTTGGAACCAATTCAATGGTACTTAACAAACGCCACAATTTATAATTTATTATTGACAGTCCATTGCCTGCAGAAAAGATCCCTTGGCATGCTCTCCAAAGACCTTTACAAGTTAGTCAGAAAGACAAGATCCAACTATATGCTGTCTACAAGATCTACATCTTAGTTCCAAGGACACAAATAGATTGAAAGTGAAAGGATAAAAACATAATCCGTGAAAATAATAATCCAAATCAGGCAAGGTGGCAATTTATAAAAAACAGACTTTAAGTCAAAACCTGTTACAGTAGACAAAGATGATAAAAGCATCAATTCATCAAAAAGACATAACAATTATAAATGTATATGTACCTAACATTGAGGCACCTTAGTACATAAAGCAAACACTGAAAAAGTCGAAGGCAAAACTAGACAGTTCTGCAATAATAGTTGGGAACTTCATTACAATTTAGTCCAAGAGAATCTTTAAAGGGGACCAAGGCTTGCTTACACAACCCAAGTTGGGCAAAGGTGAGAGAGTTGGCATGGGTGTCCAAGCAGAAACAGAGACTGGCTCTCAGTTCAGGGTTCCTGGGACGGGATAGCTAGAGAAACAGGCCAGGTAGACTGGCAAGGCGAGCTCTGCCTCTGTGTGCAAAAACACACATGAGCACCACCAGGAATGACGACTGGTTTCAAGGCAGGAGCTGTCTGCCCATTGTCTGATGAAACAGCCTCCCAGGCGTAGCTGGGTAAGGGTGAGCCAAGGAGCACTGTTCCAAGAATAAGGCCCACACCAACTCTGGAAGCAGAACGGAGAGCCAGGTCCTCCTGGGAGGAACGTTTCATTGCTGTTACTTCTTCAGCAGACTTCACAAGAATACCCACCACCCCTGCTAACTGTATCTCCCCCCTCCCCTACAGGAGCCCTGCCCTCATTGGCTGCTTCATTGTGGATCGGCAGTACTTCCAGGAGATCGGCTTATTGGATGAAGGCATGGAGGTCTATGGAGGAGAGAATGTGGAGCTTGGGATCAGGGTGAGAAGGGCTCAGTTCCCAAATATGTAAATGTGGTGGTGGTAGTGGTGATGTGCCACGGAGTCGGTCCTGACTCAGAGAATCGGGGCTCAAAGTTCAGGGGCAAAGACCAGTTCTGAATATGCAGTCTCTAATGCTGGTCCATGTGTTTGTGACTGGTACAATTTTCAGGACGAAGACAACCTTCTTGGCTGGGGGCCTTGGAAGAGTTGATCCCCCTACTCATGGGAATAGCCACTTTGTTAAAACCAAACACAGGCCCTTCAGGAGTGAGAAAGATGTGTTCCAGGACAAGATTGCAGGTGCCAAGGGGTGACCCTTGTTCCAGGACCCTCAGAAATCCTCGGATTTCTCACTTGATATTCTCTGCATCCTTCTCAGTGACCCTTGGTGGTGGCAGTGTTGGTGTGCCATGGAGTCAGTTCTGACGCATAGCAACCCTGTATAGTGTTTCCAAGGCTGTAAATCTTTACAGAGCCTTTATAGGCTCATCTTTCTCCCGTGGAGCAACTGTTAAGTTTCCAACTGCTGACCTTGAGGTTAGCAGCTCCACTCGTAACCACTACACAACCAGAGATCCTTCAATGATCCAAGGAGCTTTCAAAAAGTCTTTGTCAAGAAAAGACCACAAGGAAATAACTCATGGGGTACAAGCAATAAATCACAGCCAGGGTCACACCATACTGGTTTCTCTCCCGACACTTGCTGACCAGACCTACGGACCATTCCTGCCTCACACCATTCTCCTGAGATAGCCAGCATCCTGCTCTAAAGTATTGGTCTTTGTTCTAGCTCTTCTCAGTTCATGATACAAACCCACACAATAGGCATCGTTTTGATTCTTACTGTATGGGAACATCGCCGAGACTTTCTACCCCTTTTCCTTGGGTCCATGAAAGGTAGATCCAAACCTCTCTTTCCATGTCTGAAAGATACCTTAGTTCCCGGATGATTGTCAGGAATGTAATGGTGGATAGAGTGAATGACCTTGTCTTAGTGGGAAACCACCTCTGTGTCCAGGAATTGGCTCTGTCCTCATAGCAAATCCAACATTTGAAATGTGATGTGTCCCCAAGAGGATTCCCATTGTTCTCTCCCTGGGTATCTTTAAGAAACTAGGAGTTATGTATGATTGGCTTGCCAACCTTTCCAGTGGACACTGACCCCAATAGTATCCATGATAATCATGAGAGATGCTTCTACTCAATCTCTACGTCTCCATGAAGACGTCACTCAACACTTGGTTGGTTTCCATTAGTGGGAATCCCCTTTGCTTTAGTGTGTATATCTGGCCATCTCTAGTTCCTGATTTTCAGTAATGCACCAGACTGCAAAGCTGTTTGAACTGCAAGGTCGACGGTTCAAGCTCACCAGCTACTCCTTGGAAACCCTATACAGAGTCGCTACAGGTCGGAATTGACTTGACAGCACTTCTCAACAACAACAATCAAGGAACTACAAGCCATTCCACAGGAGAAAGATGAGACTTTCTGCGCCCATAAAGATTTATAGCCTCAGAAATTCTATGCAGGATCACTATGAATTGGAACCGACTCCACAGCACACCTCCGCCACCACCACCACCAACCAATCAAGGACTCCAGCTTGAATCTACCCTCCTGTTGTTTCTAACCTCCTTTGGCAGCAGTCCACCAGCTTTGGAAAGCCCTGGCCCCTGCCCTGAAGGGAAGACTGGGCACATACAACTGGCATCTCCTGATACCTGCGGAGATGTAGGGCCAGACTCACGTCCCAGACTTAATACTATGACTTTCAGGACTGACAACCAGAACAGCTTGTCTGAAACTGAGCTTAACAAGCACTTCTAGATGCCTGTATTCATTGAAACCCAGAGAAATTGCTTTGGAAGCAGGCAAAATGCATGGGCTTATTGGGAAGCTAATATAGTCTTAGAGAACAGCGCCTGCATAATCACCCTCATTTCTCCAACTCTCCCTACAGCGGTCATTTATTTACCATGTGTGCCATCACCAGCTCATTCCGCACTGCTCCTGGATAGATGCTGGCCCCCAAACATAATATTTTTCACTAGAAGCTGCTGTCTGGAACGGCTGAGTGGGTGGGACTGCCTCCTTGCCCCAATGCTCTCTGGGTAAAAATGTCCAGGAGTGGAGAGAAAGGATTAGATTTGTGAACTCAGTTTCCAACATGCATGTGAGTCAATCACGGAGTGGTGAGAGTTTTCTGGCTTTCCCTTCCATAGATTATCAAGCTGCTCTGGAGTGTGGGCCTGCGTGACGCTCTCAAATACATATTAAAGTATCTTCAGGTGGTTTCGTGCTTGGGTGTAAAATACAATATAAAATGTTGCCGGGCTTTTTTCGCCACCGCCTCCCATTTAGCAGAGATGAAGTGTTGTCAGAGTAGAAGGAACCTGCTGGCTGGTGGTGGCGCTATGTGCCATAGAGTTGACTTCAACACAAAGCGTCCCCTTGTGATAGAGTACGACTGTCCCGTAGGAATTTCTTTGCTGTAAACTTTAGACCTGGAAACAGATCACCAGATCTTTCTCCCTTGGAGAGGCTGGGTGGGTTCAAACCTCTAACCTTTCAATTAGCAGCCAAGAGCTTAATAACCATGGTACCCCCAGGGCTCTTTGTTGGCTGGCAGAGCTGAGGAAAATAGGTGGAAATAAGCAGTTGCTGTCAAGCCACTTCTGACTCATGGTAACGTCTTGTGTCTCAGGACAGAACTGTGCTCCATGGTGTTTTTAATGACTGACTTTTTGGAAGTAGATCTCCAGGACTTTATTCCAACATGCCATTGGGTAGACTCAAGCCTCCTACATTTTGGTAGTGGCCTAGCAGTTTGCACCAGTAAAAAATGAAAAGGGCTACTTAATCTGAATTCTAGGGAAACAGAACTGCTGATTGTCCTCAAAGTAGATGTCCCCATATTGTGTGGTTAGTAGGGCTTGTCTTTCGTGTTTTATGAATTAACATTTCAGCGTCTGAGTTCCCTCGTATGAAATAGATGCTGAGTTGTTGTCTTTTGCTATCATCAGTCTGTCTCTTAACAGCTGTACACAATGGTGATCCATACGGTTCACTGGCTAAAATTTCAGAAGTAGATCTCTGGGCCTTTCTTGCTACTCCGTCTTATCTGGAAGCTCCACTGAGACCTGTTTATAATAGTACACAGACCTCCAATGATGGGCAGATAGTGACTGCATATGAAGCGTATAGACGAGGAATTGAACTCATGTCCCCTGAATAGAAGGCAAGGATTTCACCCCCTAACTACCACTGTTCCCATAGCAATGTTTGCCATTGAGCCAATTCTGATTCATAGCAACTCTCTAGGACAAAATAGAACTGTCCGTGTAGGGTTTCTAAGGCCGTAATCTTTACAGAAGCAGCCCGGCATACCTTTTGCCCACAAAGTTCAAAACAAGCAACCAATCTTTCTGTTAGCAACCCAGCAATTAACCACTGCACCACAAGAATGCCTCACAATTTATTGTTGTTGTTAACTGCCAGTGAGTTGGTCTGACTCATAGTGACCCTGTATAGGGATTCCAAGGAGCAGCAGGTAGATTGGAAGTGCCAACCTTGCGGCTCTAAGTCCAGTGCTTATCCTATAGTACCATATCAGGAATCCTCACAATTTATTAGGGTTGTAAAATGGTATATATATATATATTTAATTTAGATGAGATAACTTTTATAAAGAGAAATTTAAATTTAATCATCAACTTTTGAGTTTTCTAAGCTATGGTAGCATAGTGGTTACGAATTGGGCTGCTGATCTCACGGTCAGCAGTATGAAACTACTAGCTGTTCTGCAGGAGAAAGATGAGGCTTACTGCTCGCATAAAGATATATAGCCTCGGAAACCCCGTACAGGGTTGCTATGAGTCAGACCCGACTCCATGGCACATAACAACAACAACAAAGTACACTAAAGTTTATTTGGAGAAGTCAGGATAAATAAATCTTTGTATAACAGCTTTCAAAATAATGAATGAATTGATTCTCTACTGTTGCCCAATGAATCCACTGCCATTGAGTCAATTCCAAATCAGAGCACTCCTATTGGACAGAGTAGAACTGCCCCATAGACTTTCCAAAAGTGCAGCTTTTACAAAAGCAGACTGCCATGTCATTCTCCTTTAGAGCAGCTGATGGGTTCAAACAACCAACTTTTCAGTCAGCAACCACACATGCCATCACTGTACCACCACAGCTCCTATATTATTACTGGAGATAGTCTCATTACTTATCTATAAATCAAAATTGATTTCTTTATTTTTGTACTTCTTTTTTTCTGTGTGTGTGATACCCCACTAGTGACCTGTGGCTCAATTAAGTCATCTAAAATAGTTCCTTCTGTGTGATGGGAGCTGTGCACCGTCAAGTCAGTTCCAACTCAAGGAGACTGAAAGCTTAGACAGGTTCATTTGTTTCATTTTGCTTTTGATGTTTGTTGTTATTGGGTGCCATTGAATCGGTACCGACCCATAGTGACCTTATGCAAAGCAGAACAAAACACTGCCTGATCCTGGGCCAACCTCACTACTATTGCCACGTTTGAGTTCACCGATGCTACCACTTGGCCAATCCATCTCGTTGGAGGGTCTTCCTCTATTTCTCTGACCCTCCACCTTACCAAACATGATATCCTTCTCTAGAGACTGGTCCCTCCTGACAATATGTCTGAAGTATGACAGACGACGTTTGGCTATCTTGGCCTCCAAGGAGCATTCTGACTGCAGTTCTTCTAAAATGGATCTATTGGTTCTTTGGGAAGCCCATGGTACTTTCAATATTCTCCTCCAACCAATAACTCAAAAACATCAGTTCTTCTACAGGTTTCCTTATTGACTGTCCAGCTTTCGTATGCACACGAGGCTATTGAAAATACCATGGCTTGGGTCAGGCGCACCTTAGTCCTCAAGCTGACATCTTTGCTCTTCAACACTTTAAAAAGGTCTCGTGCAGCAGATTTGCCTAATGCAATACGTCATTTGATTTCTTGAC